AATCTGACGAACTTCTTTGCTCGTTTTCTCACCCTAACTCGCCTAGAATCGAACGGTTTCTTCCCCAATCACTTAGAATCAATTACTTAACATAAGTACACTCTAATCTACTCAATACATCACTTAAAACACTCACTTTGATCTCAAGAAATCATCCAAAATCCCACACAACAAGATTTAGAATGAACTTCAAGAACACCTATCAAGAACTCATTAAGAACTCTAATCTTTCAACTTCAAGAATGAAATTTGCGCTGAAAATAACATGTTTGGAAGCTTACATATCTCTTAGGGATCAAACTCATGGCGAAAATCCGCAATAAGACGCAAGAATCTCGACGAACGCTTGATCCTCTCCTCTTTTCTCTTCTTGAACTCTCAACTAAAACCCTAGGCGTAAACTAGGATTATAAAATTGAACCTAATAGGATTAGACCCTTAAAATATTACTAAAAACGAATTAAATCTGATTGGGTAAGGAAAAGACCAAAATACCCCCTACTATTTTCGACTAACTTTCCTTAACTGGACAGCCTAACTTCAAAAGGCCATATCTCACTCATCCGACCTCGAAACTTAGCAAACTCGGCGGAGTTGGAAAGATAATTCAAAGATGTTTCCTACGGTATCTGGTAGAACTCCTAACTCATCTTGAGCTATGAGTTATGATCGTTTGAAGTCGACCCAAAACTCATACTTAGCTTAACTTGCAAAATTTCAGATTTTGCTATTTCCAATTTAATTCTTTTTGAAACTCAAGGTGTTACATCTAGTGACCTTAACACTTAAGAAATTTTAATTCCTCGGTAAAATCTTACTCACAACGAAGAACGGTTCGAGTCTTAGTTCGAAAAAAATATCTAGGGTGTTACAGAGAACCCATGACAGCCCGAAAGAATTGGCTCACCCTTAAATTCGAATGATCACTGATCTTCTAAGTGAGGTCTGTGAATAGCCGCTTGAAGATGCCCTGTACTCAACAAAGAAAGAGCAAGTGCAATATCAGTACACAACCACAATGTACTGGTAGGATCACGTGGCTATCCTACTAAGTGCAACATATTTAAGTCATTACAACAATATAATCACATGCATATATCGAACATATACAATATTAATTATCAACATTTATGAACAACGAACAACTTCATAATTCTCAAGATACACAATTATGACAAGTCATTAGTCCTCTCATGGAAGCCAAACCCAAACAGTTAGCATACCAGAATGTGGTACCCGATCCAATGTTTATGTCGAAACGTGGCAACCGATCCCATAATTATACCGGAACGTGGCAACCGATCCCATAATTATGTCGGAACGTGGCAACCGATCCCAATTAGTTGTGCCGAATCGTGGCAACCGATACATTCAACACACCACAATCACAATCACAAGTATCTTCTCAAGTTCATACCATTTAGTCATGATTCATGGCATTCATCATTCCTCTATCTCATTTACAACAAGTGTGATCAATAATGCAACATTCACATACATACAAGTATCATAATGAAGCAAGAGAAAACATACATCACACAATCATAGAATCACAACCATCACCTACCTCGAAACAAGCTTGAAACCCTAAGAAACTTGATCATTCCCTTTCCGGATTTGTTCTGCTTGTTCTTGGTCTATAAACAATCAATATAATACGGGAATCAATAGACACTCACTAATTACCCGGATTAGTAACAATTCTATGAATCCTAGATCATACTCATGATCCCAAGTATCCAAATTAGGGCTTTTTCCACCAAAGTTTCTAAATCACCCCCCCCCCCAAATCGATAATTACCCATTCTATTACGTTCTACGGATTGAAAAAATGGATTCGGGGAGTGAAAAGCTTACCTTTAGCCTCAAGAATGGTGGAAAACTGTCAAGAGTCGCCTGGGGTTCGTTCCTTAGCTCTAAAAATCGAAAAGTGCAGAAAAAGGTCGTTTAGGTTTTTTTTTACGACTTTAAGTCGCGTTTGGCCCGCCACAGCGACCCTTACCTCGCTTCAGCGGCACCGCCACAACGACAAAAACCACCGCCAAAGCGGCTTGCACGAAACAATGAGCTTTTTTAATAATTCCAAGACCCTCATTTCACAATACACCTTTAACCAACGACGCTAAAAAAATACCGTTCACGCTAAGACGCTAAGATTGATTCCGGGAGTTCTACTCACCCGAATTCAATTCCGTAAAGTCATACAAATTCCTTAATGACTTATCTATCTACTCATGCAATCAACATCATAATTAACTCACCCGATTGTTACCAGATTTCCCTACACCTTAATGACTCCGATTTCGTTCAAATCTGGACTAGGTTGGGAAATTTCAAGTTACTACGAAAAAGTTTTCCGACCCAAAATTTTTCCCCGTTGACTTTTCTATAACGACGGAACCCGGTCATTACAATACATAATATTACATTCAGTTCTAATGCTCATTGTGTTGTGAATGTGAAGAGTAAGAGAAACACTAAAATACTACCTCCTTTTACATTTGGAGATGGTGGAAGGTGTTGAGTTGAAACCTCATAAGGTCTATATATATTTCAATCTGCGAAGTCTTAGAAATATTTGTTGTAAGAGAGTGACTTTTAATGTAATGTGATTACATATTAGATCTCGACAATCTATGTTGCTTAGACTAATTAAAAAAATCAATGAGTACGTATCGTATCCTTAAAAAATAATGTATTTTTTAAAGATCCGACATGAATGCGACAAAATATTTGAAGAGTCGGAACAACTTAGTCGGCAATTGCATTTTAGAATGGATAGAATAGTATACATATATTGCTGGTCATTGGACAAGCTATTATATATAGAGATCTCTTCTATATATATGACTAATATTTTACCCCTTAAATATGAGAGTTAAGATGTTTTTACTACTCCCCCCAATGGTATATTTCTAAGACTAAAAGTGCAAACATGAATTATTTTTTAAAAAAATATGCTAACATGAATTTCTTATTCCTTAGCACAAAGTGCTTAAATACCATTATGCTCCCTTAAATGATTATTTTTTTTTTTTAAAAAAAAAACATTGGGGGTTGGAAAAAGGCAAATGAGGGAGGGAATTACATTATGGAGAATCGAATTCTCACCAACAAGGTGGGAGTACATATTGTTAACTAATAAGCTACATAGATTCCCCTAAACATTTGTGTCTGTCCTAAATGGACCCTAAATGGTATGAGTTTGATTATGATATACTTCTTTTGCATATATAAATTTTCCTTTATCAAGATTTAACATGTTTGGGCCTTGCTTAGCACGGGCTTCCCATTATAGTATATATATATATATATATATATATATATAGCCCGTTTATTTGAGATACATCATGTTAGTCTACTATAAAATTAATACATCATACATTTTTAGTTAAAATTGGTAAAAGAAAGAGATATTATTTTCAATTAAATCGATTTAGAGAATGGAATAAAAGAGAAGATAAACTAAATGAGAGATACACATATGGAATGAAATAGAGAGATATATACAAATGGAATGAAAGAGGATAAAATGGAGATGTCTATGATAATTTTTATTTGAATATTGTATTTTCGAGTTGAATACTGTAGTTTTAAATTATATAATCTACTTCATTGAATATTTTGCTTTTGAATTGGATATTCTATTCTTTAATTTAATATTATAGTTTCAAAATAAACATTACATTTTAAATTAAATATTATAATTTTAAATATGGAAGATGGATATTAAAGGAAAATAATATAGTGTTACTTTTTGTTGGATACTACTAATTTGGATAGATTATAAAAATTTCTCTCTTTGGTAGTATATTTATATTTTTTCCATAAACAGATAGAATTGGCCTATAAATAAGGCCACCAAACATACAAATCCTATCAATACATTAAAAAAAGAACAAATTGTAACATTCAAATCAAAGCTCTAAAGATGGGGAATCGCCAACGAAAAAAGAAATTAAAATTTCCCAATCAAACTCCTAAAGGTATATGTTTATTTCTGTTGTGTGTGTTTTAATTTTCTTTAATAATAATCGTGTTCGACCTAATTTTTTTAAAATTTTAAATGCATGACAAATAGTTTTGGAGCCTTCAAAGAAAGCAAATCCAATGGATATTCTAGATCAGGTGAGTTCACAATACATCAATTGAGTTCATTTATTGGAATTTGTTATTATTTTGACTTAGATTCTATGTGCGTTTTGTTGCTATAACAAACAGATTTTTCTTCCCAATTTAATTTATTTCAATTGTCAAAAATGTTTTAAACTTTGGTTGTGTTTGGTAGGAAAGAAAATGTTTAATTTGCTTGAAAAACACTAATCCTCATCTATAAAAGATGTCACATCTGTTTTTTCATTACCTGCTTTATGTGTATGTGTAGATGCTTTTTGGTTTAACATTATTTACATACCTACTAAACAAAGAAAAGAAGTAAGAAATTTTTCTAATTTTATTACTCCGTATGTTTGTTAATAGTTAATAGGAAAAAAAATTAGGTTCTTCTTTTTTATATCTTTGATTGAAATGGTATTAATATTTGAAAATTTTAAGAGTAAGCCAAGTGTCTTAACATCATTTTTTTGTCCTATTTAGGCCATGAAAGTTTACTTTGAAGAGGGATACTTATTGACATCATCAGCAGGTTACCTGTAAAGTCTGTTCTTCGATTTAAATGTGTTTCAAAATTTTGGAAAATATTAATTGATGAACCGTACTTTAAGACGAGACATCTCAACCATGCAAAGAATGATCAGAATTCTCAAAGTTTTCTATTTTACAAACAATGCCTTGGGGAATTTAACTATCCCATATACTCTTGTTCTTTATCGCCGGCTCAGTTGGTTGAGGATACACATTTACTAAGTTTTCCTCTAAACATTGAACCAGAGTTTTTTACGATCTATAATGGTTGTGATGGCTTGTTTATTATTTATGTTTTTGAAAATACTATTGAGCACAACAAACTTTTGTTATGGAATCCCTCAACAAGAGAATCAATGGTACTTCCCATTCCAGAATTTTCAGTGGGATTATCTTCATGTTTGGGATTGAGTCTTGATTCAAGTGGTGACTATAAGATTCTAAAAATCGAGGGGAATGAATTTGGTGGTCGCAAAGTGTCTGGTGAAATTTTCACACTAAAAAATAATTCTTGGCGAAAAATTGGTGAACATCCTCGTGTCACTGGCAATAAGGTGTCTGCTATGGATTCTTTGGCATTTATACGTGGGGCATTTCATTGGATTGGTTTTTATTCAAAAACTTACTTTGTGGTTTCATTTAATATTTCTCATGAAGTGTATGGAGAGATATCATTGCCAGAGGAAATATGCTTGTTGAACACACGTAAGATTGACATTTCTATATTGGAAGGAATGCTTTGTGCTTATTCTAATACATATGATCAGGGGATCCGTACTTTTAAGGTATGGGTAATGAGAGATTATAATCTCAAGGAATCTTGGAATGCAATATTATCTATAGAAGATCGTTATCTTCTTAAAGCCATGCCAAAATATAGGTTTGCAAATGGTGAAATATTATTCTGGAGCGCACATTTACGAGGCATGGACATTAACTTTAGGACACAAAGAGGACCCTTTACATTATTGCCTAGAGGTAAATTTCAGAATGGGTTCACTTACACAGAAAGCTTGATCTCTCCAAGATTACTTATTTAGTATTTATTCATGTATGATCGAGACACTTTTCATTTTTCCATTATCATGTTACATTTTCTTATTTTTATTAGTTTATTTATCAACCACAAACTTTTTAGTTTCAAATTTTGTTTATCAAAATTTTGCTTATTTTATGTTCTCTGAGAAACAACATGAGTCATTTCTTTGTTTCTGAGAAATAATTAGTGATTACCGCCACCCCCACCCTCCTATCTTTTTACCTGCTATTGTTTGTGTAGTCTTTAATACTAATTCATGTAGTGAGTAATATATTGTTTATTACTTAGTTGTAGATTAGTGGAATAATTCCTAGTATTTTGGTAAGAGTGAAATATTCAAGATTAAATTTGAGATTATATTATATATAATGTATTTGACTGACCGTATAAATTTAATCTCAAAAAAGAGAATGAAACACTTTTTATGTCATCCTTATTGGAAATGTTATAGAAAAATATTTGATCTTGAAAACTATAGAATTTTTTTGAAAGCTTAAAACATATCTACGATATTGTCCTTAATGAGATATTCCCTCAAAATTCAATAAGTTTTTCTTAATATTAAATTAGGAGCACGCAAATTAAGAAAGACTTTTAAGAACAAAACTCAACACTAATAGAATATGAGAGAAAGAAAATTATTTTCTACAAACCAAAGTGGGCTCATGAATGGAAAACTAAATCTATAGTCCAATAAAATGGTGTTATCACCTGCTACAACAAATAAATATACAACGTATAAGTATTTTTTATATCGATAATGTATATAACTTAAATTTCATTAAAAATATGCATGCATGACCACATAGAATATATGTTCTTCCAACTAGCCCTTTATATGTGGAACAAAATAGTAGTAGGATCTTTTTTTTTTTCAAAGCATCTAAATAAAGCTCACAAATCTTGACTCATTTTGGTAAGCGTGGAATTAATATTCAAGATTATATTATATATAATGTATTTGACTGATCGTATAAATTTAATCTCAAAAAAGAGAATGAAACACTTTTTATGCCATCCTTATTGGAAATGTTATAGAAAAATATTTGATCGTTGAAAATTATAGAAATTTTTTGAAAGCTCAAAACATATCTACGATACTATCCTTAATGAGATATTCCCTCATAATTCAATAAGTTTTTCTAAATATTAAATTAGGAGCACACAAATCCGGAAAGACTTTTAAGAACAAAACTCAACACTAATAGAATATGAGAGAGAAATTCCACTTCTACAAACCAAAGTGGGCTCATGAATGGAAAAATAAATCTATAGTCCAAAAAATGGTGTTATCACCTGCTACAACTAATAGATATAAAACATATAAGTATTTTTTTATATTGATAATGTATATAACTTAAATTTCATGAAAAACGTGCATGCATAACCACATAGAATATATGTTCTTCCAACTTGGCCTTTATATGTGGAACAAAATAGTAGTAGTAGGATCTTTTTTTTAAAGAATCTAAATAAAGATCACAAATCTTTTGAAAGGTTCTTTTCTTTATTCATTTATTTATAACTATAAATAGACTCACCACGCCCACCCCTATTTTCAAGCAACCTAGCCTATCTATCTTTGAGCTTGTGAAATAAAAATCCTTTTATTTCTCTAGCTCTTTTTTTGGCTAGTTGCTTCATCTAATTTTTGTCAAAAAAAATATGGAGAAGGTACAAAGAATGACTAGAGAACATGGAGTGGTGATTTTTAGCAAGAGTACATGTTGTTTGAGTTATGCAGTGAGTATATTATTTCAAGATCTTGGTGTAATTCCATATGTTTGTGAAATTGATCATGAGTCTGATGGAAAAGAAATGGAAAAGGCCCTAATAAGGATGGGTGTCAACAGTTCATTCATGTTTCCTGCTATTTTTATTGGGGGACTATTGGTTGGTTCTACTAATGAAGTCATGTCACTTCATCTTCAAGGCTCACTTATTAAACTTATCAAGCCTTACATGTCTAACTTAAAAAGTAATTAAGACCACCCACCCGGGTGCTACTTGAATAGCAGGCGGCACATTTCCTGATTCTATTCTGGTTGATCCACCGACGTGTCCGTTTCAGTAGATTGTTCCCATGATTCCAAGAGGACACCCCCACCTCACCCCTATTTCAAGAAAAGTTTGACATTATTATTAATTAGTACTAGTAGTACTACTAGGAACAATAAATAAATTGTTGAGCTGAAGAAGTTGTAGTATGAAAATGTTATGTAATTGTTGTGAAGATGTGTGTGCTCTAGTTCAACTTATTAAAGAATGTATTCTCATTTGTATCTCAATTAATGGAAGTTAGCATTATTACTTAAGTTAATTTGTTCTTTTTCCCCTTCTGTTGTGGATCAACAACATGTTTGGAGAATTCATCACTTTACAAATGGGGAAAACATGAAACAAAATATCGAGAGAACTGATTATGAAGGTGTTGGGTTTTAAAAGGTGTGAATGGAAAATGAAGAGTTGTGACTTTTATGAAAGGTTGTGACCTTTCCAAAAGATTGTGACTTTTACAAAGGGTTGTGACCTTTTCGGTAAGGCACAATAAGAACCTTTTCACACTACCCTTTGTTTTCTAGAAATTGAGGGGTTTCCTTTCATTTAAAGAGAATCAATTTTCTAGACTTCTTCTTCTTCTACTACTTCTACTACTACTATTAAGTGTACTTTACTGCCGTTGAGTGGTTCGCTGACACCATGGTTTTAAGTACCAATACACCGGTGAGTAAGATCATTCTATCCTGGGAGGATATATTCCATTAACCTCAGGTACTTGAGGGGAATAATTTTCTTAAGGGGACACTGTGCATTCAGTGGGATCAATTTTCTTCTTTAAGAAAAATATTCTGTATATTGTTTCTAATCTATTCCTGAGTTTATTTTCTCCACTGATTTTAATTTTCTAGTTTTGAAAATACTCTTTAAACTTTGTTGTTTCTTATCAAGTTCTTCAAAGTATCTTAGGAATACAGGATGAAAAACAATCTTAAGGAAATTCTTATACTATTGGTAAACCCATTAAATTAAACCACAACCACTAGGTCAAATCACCATTAAAATACATCTAACCTATCAGCAAGCAAGACCCAACAATAATATCAACACATATTTGCTAAATCACACCCCAAGAATGGGATTTTTAGCCACACGTCAAGAAATAACAAAATACACCTTAAATGATACTAAAATCAAATGGGTATAAAGAATTAAACCTTGAATTAAGAAAAGGAAGAAGAATGGAGAAGACACACTTCCAAGTTGGAGAAGTGAAATCCTTCTTTCTTCAAGTCTTCCAAAAACCCTCTCCAAACTTGAGAGAAAATATCCCAAAAGTACTATTCTATTGTGAAAATTAAAATAAATGTTCGACTCCTCTAAAAATTAATAACAAGTTTAGTATTTATAAACTTTAGAAATTAGTGCTGGCGGATCGTTCTGCGAGGTTAGTCGAAATCGCCGATTAATTCGGCGATTCGCCCTTTGGTGTAGTTCGTCACCGTCTTGCACTAGCCTTCAACATCGTCGTGCTCTGTGTCATTGGGCGACATAGTACTGCTTCGCGGAAAGTGATTGAGAGAAACAGATGATGGAAGTAGAAGATTAATGCACTACTTCTTCAGAATTCGGTGCCTTGTTTAGCAAGATCGAATTGAGAATGTGGCTGAAAAATTGGTGGTAGTTTGGTTAAAGATTACATGTAAACTTCTTATTATTTATCTAAGGAGGAAAATAGTTTCTAAAAGTTAATTCTTTTGATATTTTTCATGTGTATCTTTGGAAAAAAATTTGCAAACCATATGTTTTGGAATAAATTTTACTTGGCAAATAGTGTTGCCTTTAAAATTCTTTAGTTTGCAGAATGAGAGATGCACTTTTTTGTCTGATAAAACAGTATGTCAAAATGTTATAGTTGGAAGACTATTTGAAAAGAAAAGCATTTCTATGTGATAATCTAAGAATATGCTTTATTCTGTTTGGAGAAAAAAACACTTTTGTAGTTTTGTACTCCGTGTGAAATTTGATTGTGTCTGATTGTTGTAGATTAAAAACTTTTATAGTTTTCTACTCTAGATAAATTGGACTATCCAATTGGTTTGAAAAAAAATCAAAACTTCACTTAATAAGTCTGTGTTGTACTTTTGATTTTCTACAAACTTCATTGTTAAGTAGAAACAAATTGTACATAATTTATTGTACAATTTTTTTTTGTCTTTATTGTTATTATTCTAAATACTAAGTGGTAAGTCTAACTTTGATAGAAAAGAAAAAGATTAGTGACTTAAAGTGTGTGATTTTGTGCCTGCAATAGGTGCCTCTATGGAATGAACTTTGACAATATTTAAAAATTGTCAAAGAGAATTGAAGCACTATAATTCTTTCGTAGAATAATATTTCCAAAAGAGGTTTCATGCTGCGAATGACATTTTGATAGTATGAAAATATATGTGGAAAAATTATTTTCAACTATTTGAAAAATATTTTTGAGATCATATTTAAAATGTGGGGAGTTCTTTGCTTATTACAAAGATAAAATTAGACTTAGTATCTGATTTAAATTTGGAGCACAAGATATGAAATTCGATGATACTTTTGTTTTATGTTAGACCCAAAAAATTCTTGGAGTATATTTGATATTGTGGCCGTTGAGTTTCTCTTTTACTAATATATATGGTATGACTAGTATGAAATTATCAAATTATATGTATACTTGTTCAAAATGATTGTGTTCTTTTATGAAAAAGTGTCACTTAAAATGTTGTGATTTTTCATGAAAAGATATGTCTATTAAATATAACTATTTATATAGACATGAATATTGGTGAATAGTCATTTGTCATGTTTTGTAAAAGAAGCATTTGAATTATATTGCATTTATTAGACCCGATGAAACTTTGTTCATGGAAAGGACATTGTACAAGGTAATGACTTTAAACAATGTTTGTATCACACAAAATTGTAAGAAATAGGAACAAATATTTGTGAGAAAAAGCTACCTCG